AATATTGGGGTCAGACAACTTAGCATCAATAATCTGTGAAGTAGCTTGCTCTCATTTTCTTGGATTCTAGCCTCTTTTCTCCTCAGTACAGGTACATTAATCTTGTGTTGGCAGATCTAATGGGGCTACAAGAATGAACTTTGTAAATCCTTTGACTTTTTTGAATGTAAGATTTAATTCTTTGTAAATGACAACAAAATCATCAGTTTGTTCATCTCATGACTGTCCATTTTCCAATTAGAACAGTGTAGTGTTTTATTTTCTCAGAACTGGTTTTTGCCACCAAGAATTGTTAATGCCTAGATTATGTGTTCATGAAATTTAAATATAATATGAAAAATGCCAATAAGATCCTAATTTGTTCTTTTTTTTCTTTCCTGTTCAGTTACTGTGGTGAGCAACCAATTGATTGTTAAATTGATCCCCGTTTTTGTATCCCCTCCCTATCTAATGACCACCCCCATATTCCCAGTTCCACAAATTAGAAGTTGGAATTGTCCTGACTCCTCTTTTTTCCTTACACTTTATGCTATTATTTATCATGTCTTGTTCTTTTAATTCCCAAATCTGTCTCCATATTTATCGCCAGGGCATCAGTTTAATAACTTGTAACTGTGTGCCTTTATTATGGCAGTAACTTTATTACACTTCCTGTGCCTAGTCTGTTTATTCTTGGCTTATTCCTCATGTTGTTGTCAGAGTGTTCATTGTAAAAGGCAGATATTATTTTTTTCTTTTTAAAAAAGTTATTTACTTAATATGAGAGAGAGAGAGAGAGAGAGAGAGAGAATGAATGAATGAATGAAAATCTTCCATCTGCTAGTTCACTTCTCAAATGCCCACAATTGCCAGTGGTAGGCCAGGCCAAAGCCAGAAGCCAGGGACTCCATCTGGGTCTCACATATGGATGACAGTGGCCCAAGCACTGAGCATCATCTGCTCCCTCCCAGGCATGTTAGAAGGAAGCTGGATCAGAAGTGCTGAGTAGCTGGGATTTGAACTGGCACTCCATATGGGGTGCTAGTGTCTCAAGCAGCTTCTCAATCTATTATGTAATGTTCACTCCACCCCCCCCCCCCCCCCCCCCCCCCCCGCCAAGGCAGATCTTAGTTGTTACTTACTAGTTTAGCATCTCTGTGGTTACACACAACCTGCAAGATAAAGTTCAGCCTCCTTAGGTTGGCACGTAGGACACTTAATGATCTCACCTTTCTTCGTATCTAGCCTTGCATCTGTCCACTCTTTTGTATTACACTATGCTTCAGACCTAGGGAACTATAAAAACAATCTCCTTTTCCTTTTTGCTGATTTCTGTTTGTCTGGAGCACTGGGTTATATTTTCTTCTTTGGTAATCTTCCTTGACTCCACACTCCAAACCTACATTTGATGCCTTGTGTAGTGCTAGCAGTCAGTTCAAATATCATGACACTCATCACCCTGTAGTGTGATTTTTACTTTCTGTGCTTCCCTGACAGTAAACTTCCTGTGAGTAAAGATTGCAAGGATATAGTAAAAATTTCGTTGCAACTGGAATGACAGATAAACGTGTTTTGGTACAAAAAATTTTTGAGATCCGTGTATAGTTTTTTCATAGTATGCATTTCTATGAACTTTTTGAAAACTCTGTATATACTTTTATTTTTTATTTTTACTTCATTACTAGTACAATAATGTGCTCAATAAATGCTTCTCACAAGAGTTATACCTCCAGAATCTTTAACTGAAATACATTTTCCTCTGTCAGAAGGAATCATACTTGCATATGTTGTGATTTTGGTGACCACCAGGAAAAGAGATATTGCAAGCTTCAAAGAAAAAAATTGAAGAACTCTGTTGAGTATGGCTTTGGAAAATTGTTTGCTACCTAAGATTTGCTATCTGTAATAGGAGACTTATGTCTATTTCAGTCTTTGCCTAACTTTGGCATGAGGGATTTAATTATTTCAGAACAATGAAAGGGAGAAAAAATAATTTTTTCCTTTTAAATTTATCTTCAATTTTAACTATTAAATAAACCAAAATTACTCCTTCGGTTTGTTAGACATTTTATTTGCATCCTGGAATCTAAAAGGTAGTGATGTTGACTTTTTTTAAAGATTTATTTATTTATTTGAAAGTCAGAGTTACAAAGAGAGGCAAGGAGAGGCAGAAAGAGAGAGAGAGAGAGAGAGGTCTTCCATCTGCTGGTTCACTCCCCAATTGGCTGCAAGGTCAGAGCTGTGCCAGTCCGAAGCCAGGAGCCAGGAGCTTTTTCTGGGTCTCCCATGTGGGTATAGGGGCCCAAGGACTTGGGCCATCTTCTATGGTTTCCCAGGCCATATCAGAGAGCTGAATTGGAAGTGGAGCAGCCAGGACTCCAACCGGTGCCTATATGGGATGACGGTGCTGCAGGTGGCAGCTTTATCCACTATGCCACAGCGCTGATACTGACTTTTATGAGAGGATATTTGGCCTTTTGATTTATGGATAAATTGAGAAAATAAATAGAAAACACATGGTTTAAATAAATCTTGTTAAATGATGAAGAAAAGGGTCAGGAACTTTAGAATATCAAATTTGCAGTATATAGAACACTATTTAAAAAAATAACCAAGTTACACTTTATTGTAAATCTTATCTCCATATGTGATTCACACTTATATTTTCCTGGAAGAAAATTTCCAGATTACTAGCTTTGGTCATTAGATAGAGGCCTAATGAGAGACAGTTGCAAGCCTTTTAAGAAAATAAACTGTCTTTCTCCTGCTTTTATAAATTGACACTGGAGAAATACAGACACACTCTACCCATATTCCATTAAGAAAAGTTAGCTCACTTGGTTAATCCTCTGCCTGTGCCGCCAGCATCCCATATGGGCACTGGGTTCTAGTCTCGGTTGCTCCTCTTCCAGTTCAGCTCTCTGATGTGGCCTGGGAGGGCAGTGGAGGATGGCCCAAGTGCTTGGGCCCCTGCACCCGCATGGGAGACCAGGAGGAAGCACCTGGCTCTTGGCTTTGGATCAGCGCAGCACTGTCCATAGCAGTTATTTGGGGAGTGAACCAACGGAAGGAAGACCTTTCTCTCTGTCTCTCTCACTGTCTATAACTCTACATGTCAAATAAAAAAAAAAAAAAAAGAAAAGTTAGCTATAGGGGCTGGTGTTGTAGTGCAGTGGGTATAGCTGACATCTGCATTGCTTATGGGCACCGATTTGAGTCCTGGCTGCTGCTCCACTTCTGATCCAGCTCCCTGCTAATGGCCTGGGAAAGCAGCAGAAGATGGTCCAAGACCTTGGACCTTGCCACCCACGTGGTAGACCCAGATGAAGCTCCTGGCTCCTGACTTTTGCCTGGCCCAGCCCCAGCCATTTGTGAACCAGCAGATATAAGATATTTTTCAGCCTCTACCTCTCTTTCTCTTTCTCTCCAACTTTTCCTTTCAAATACAAATAAAATAATTTTTTTAAAAAGTTCTCAGTACTTGAAATCTTCCTGAGTAATGTAAATATATTTATTCGTTTTTCTTCAATTTACATGTGTGTGAAGTTTTTTAAAAATTACGTATTTCAGATATTCTGATGGTAATACTTTTTGGTCACTATGGTATTTCTTCTTCTTTTTTTTTTTTTAAAGAATTACTTTATTTATTTGATAGAGTTACACAAAGAGAGAAGGGGAGGCAGAGAGAAAGAGAGAGAGAGAGAGAAAGAGAGAGGTCTTCCATTCTGCTGGTTCACTCCCCAAATGACCGCAACGGCCAGAGCTGAGCTGACCTGAAGCCAGGAGCCAGGAGCCAGGAGCTTCTTCCAGGTCTCCTACACAGGTGCATGGGCCTAAGGAGTTGGGCCATCTTCTGCTGCTTTCCCAGGCCATAGCAGAGAGCTGGATCAGAAAAGGAGCAGCTGGTGCTCAAACCAGTGCCCATCTGGGATGCCGGCACTGCATGCTGGGGTTTTAA